TGGAGTGGAGGGAGGACCCCTCCCCCACCAACCAATCAATCAATCAATCAATCAATCAATCAGTCAATCAACCAATCAATCAATCAATCAATCAATCAATCAATCAATAAAAAAAAAAACAGTCAATCAATGAATTTTTTTTTGTTTTCTATTTATTTATTTATTTTTCGTAGTCTTCGAAATCCACCCTCCCGTTTTCGAAATTTTTATGTTTTTTTTTTGCGAGGAGGTAGGCCCCCCCCCCCAACTCGAGACCCGTTCCCCGCCCCCCAACCCCCCTCCCTGATTCGCGGCGGCATCGGCCGAAAGTTCTCGGCCGGCCCGGACGCGGCCGGGGGTGCCCCGGCCTAGGCCCCCGGCCGCGGCCACCGTGCAACATAGCTTTGTGACGCCAGTCTGCCTGAATCGCCTGTCTTATTACATTGGTAAACCTACTTCGAATTTGACGATTTGTCCATTCTTTGTTCTCGAAGACTTGATCGTTGCCATATCACTGCAAAGCAAACTGCTCGTGTTTCCTTAGCAACATAGCCCCAACCTTCTGACTTCGAGGAATTTTCCGGGAGACCGCCCAACAGGGCCTCACCTTATCCCATTCGAAGGCTGGACCCGAAATGCGGTTCCAGTGGTCCATCCACCATTGTCAAATTCGACTAGAAGTCGGACAGTCCCAGCACAAGTGAATAGTTGATTCGAATGCCCATTGGCATCTTTTGGATGTCAGATCGAGCTTTAATCCACATTCAGTTAGCCATACGGCTGATGGTGTAACAACCAAAGAGACGAGCCATAACAAAGAGGCTTGCTTTGGTTGGCAATCAAGTTCACTTGCTCCCAGCAAGATGTAAGGGTAACATCAATCAGAGTCTCGTTCCACCCCATTTGAGTTCAAGTGCGACGTGAAAAATCATCGTTCCACCCCGCCATAGAGAAATGTTTTTCTGTTTTCACATTTTGCATCTCAAGTGCAGGCCAGGCAAAATCGCACTCGAGTTCAAGTTACCTCCTGGAGGTGCCTTGAGTTCAAGAGGTACCCTTGGGTTTCAGCCGCGGGTGCAAGTAAGTTTTTTTTTTTCTCTTGTACGCCCTGTGTTCCTTGTTCACGACATGTCATTTTTCCAGTCCAGCGAGCAACGGCTATAGGTGGCGGTACCGGGTGCCAGCAGTGGAACTCTTGAGTTTGGTGGTTGCGGCTTCCTGCGGGCCGTTGGGGCACACACGCACGGTGACCGTTGTAGCGCGTGGTGCACCGTCATCGAGGTGGGAAAATTCGAATCGGTCGCGCGCCTCAGCTGCTCGTAGACTTTTGGACGCTGCATTCTGGGCGAGGGCTGTTTTGCCGCGGCAGGTCCACATGGCAGTACAAAACAAGCACAGTTGCTGCAGGTTGCTGCACCGGCGTTCGCACGTGCTTCTGCAAACCTCCGTTGTCGTTTCCTGTTGTGTGCACTGTGTTGCGACATGCATGGCGGACCATGCGAGGAAGTTGTCGCTGCTTTGTGTCCTCGTCCTCCTATTGCTGCTCTTGCTGATACTGCACCTGTGGTCTTCTAGGCATGCAAGGGTTGTGCCCCACAAGCGAAAGCCGATGAGATCGAGCAAGCATCCAACATGTAAAGGAGGGATGGGTGGCGGCGACGACGGGGCAGACATGTTTATGTACGGGGTTTTGGGGAGTGGCAGCGAGGGGTGTTTTCCATCGGATACACCACGTTGTGAGGAAATTCGGGGAGGGGTTGCCTACTGCTCGATGAAACCAAGGACAACAGCACCTGCCACTCGCTGCGCCCGCTTCCGAGGTCCTCAGCGACCAACAGGGGAGTGGGATTGGAATGCCTGTCATGTCCTCATTTTAGATTGAGTGCCCGAACTCACTTTCTAACAACCAAAATAAATAATAAATAATTAAATAAATCCAGATTTCACATCACATTCGCATCACATTCATCCTTCCAGACTACCCGTTCGGTCAACCAGCAACGAGAGCCTGACTCCCCAATGAGCGCCATGAGATTGGGCTGTCAGCGAACAACAAGTGTTTAAAATTTACTAAGGAACAATTCTGTCATGGAGCGGCGAGTGTCTCTTCTGCCAATGAGGAGCTCGAAGCTGCTCTGGTAAACACTGGCACGTGACTGATATGCCAACGAACGACGTACAGAACAGATCTGCCAATGAATTGTGGGTGTCTGATCTGCCAACGAGTGGCCACTGCGTGATCGGTCAATGGGCAGAGAGTACCTGATCAGCCAATGAGTGGCGGCTACTTTATCAGTCTATGAGAAGAAAGAACCTGATCGGCCAATGAGTGGCATGAACTGCCAATGAGTGGCGGGTACCTGATCAACCAATGAGAGGCCTGATACCTGATCAGCCAATGAGAAGAAAGTACCTGATCAACAAATGAGTGGCCTGCTTTGCCAATGAGTGGCGGGTACCTGATCAGCCAATGAATGGCTGCTACTTTATCAACCAATGAGAAGAAAGAACCTGATCAACCAATGAGTGGTGGGTACCTGATAAGCCAATGAGTGACTGCTACTTTATCTGCCAATGAGAAGAAAGAATCTGATCAGCCAATGAGTGGCGGGTACGTGATCAGCCAATGAGTGGCTGCTATTTTATCAGCCAATGATAAGAAAGAACCTGATCAGCCAATAAGTGGCCTGATCTGCCAACGAGTGGCGGGTACCTGATCAGCCAATGAGAGGTCTGATACCTGATCAGCCAATGAGAGGCCTGATACCTGATCAGCCAA